TTCTTTCTTTCTTTCTTTCTTTCTTTCTTTCTTTCTTTCTTTCTTTCTTTCTTTCTTTCTCTCTTTCTCTCTTTCTCTCTTTCTCTCTTTCTCTCTTTCTCTCTTTCTCTCTTTCTTTCTCTTTCTTTCTTTTTTCCTTTTTTTTTTGCCAGGGATGCAACCAAACCTGAGATTGAGGAGGAATTGAACCCCCGTAAAGACCATTTCCTTAGTGCCAAGGTAGCTGACTGAGAACATAGCTTGACCCAATGTGGCTTCTTAGGGATGGAGGAAGAGACCTATATGAGCTAAACCTGTGAGATCCCAAAGTAAGGCTTCTCTCCTCAATGGACAAAAGTGGGCTCTGTATCTGCTCTCCATGCTTCTTGTGAGTTTCCTGACCCACATACGATTTGGCTGCCAAGAATCCCTCAGGATTCTATTATAGTAATGAAGGAAAGGAATGCCTCGTGCTTTCGGTTCTGTGCGGCTGCTGGTCTAATGTGTGTGGATGATTTACTGAAAGGAGAGGTTAGGGTGACAGAGCTGTGCCCCACCCAGAAGCACTGCTAACGAGGGAAGGCTCCTCTTGGAGATAAACACAAAATGGGTCCAAATACAGACAAAAAAAATCACCTCCAAAAAGCAAAATGGCTCCCAGCCAGCATTACCTCACTACAGGACCTTACTCTGACCCGATTGAGTTATTAACATTTTAATGGAAGAAATTGTTTATCACAGTGGAGCATGGCAAAATGGAAACAGAAAAAGCAGAATCACAGGGTAATGTTAATTACCTTACCCACCCTTAATTTGAGGAAGTTTGCTGAGAATAAATAAGGTCAATAGAGATGAAAACTCACCTCTCACAGTGATATTCAGCAGCGCACTCTGGACGGGGCCGTAGCTGTTGTCCGCTGTACAGTAGTATCCCCCTGCATGGCTCTCTCTGATGGCAGGGAGCTCCAGCTCCGCTCTGGGGGAACGCTGAGTTTTCCTCCCCAGACTCTCCTGCGTGTCCTCTCGGTGCCAGGAGAACGTCGTGTACCCTGTGCCTTCAGCCACGGAGCAGACAAGGACCAGCGTCTCGCCTTCAACCGCCTGGCCCCCTGTGGGCTGTGTCTCCAGGAGCACCCCAGACACAGGGATCCCTATGTAAAAATGAGACCACAGGTGGGGGCCAGTTGTGAAGGAGGGCAGGGCTGGGTAGCTGGGGTGTTGGGCAGGGTCACTTCTTATGTGACTTCAAGATATCCTCTTCAGCAGGCACTAACATTGTGACCAACAGACCATGAATTTAGGGCTGAAAATATCACTAAATGTGATAAGCTTTCCATCCTGATATATGAGGCCCCAGGAAAGAAAAAAGAAGCATTTGGGTTTTGTCTGACATCCTGGCTGGAGGTCTGAGTTGTTTTGAGGGAGAGGTAATAGCAGTAGTGGCCATCATGGCAGTAGGCTGGACCACATCTATTTTTAAAAGTCATAGTTTGGTACCTAAGTGATGTTTATTGGACCTATCTATCTCTCCTTCTCTTCTGCTGTACACATCATAGGCACTCACATTGTTCATTGCTACTGATGGATGTTTGTCTTCTAAATAGTTTTCTTTGAGATCTAGCCATTCTAGAATCTGCCAACTCCCTAGCAGGGCACCTTATTTTCTTGTTTTGTTTTCCATAGCTCTCAAACGTAACTACATGAGTCAGCTGTGATTCTGAAGTCATAGAATTTCAAAGGAAGACTGAGGTTTTAGGAAAATGGAGGTAGAAAAGAAGTCATGTATCTCTCTTATTATTGTACTTCACTTCTTGGCCTAAGCCCGGTTCCTCTGTTGGGATGATAAAACCGGTCTCTGCTACATAGTCCCCATGCCTGCAGAGCCTGAGGGGCCCAGAAAGGCAGGGAAGACGCCTGGCTCTCCAACACTCACGCTGCACGCGGATCTGTAGCGAGAGACTGCGCTTGTGGATGTTCCCCATCACTGTTTCAGCACCACACCAATAGGATCCTGAGTTTTCTCTCCAGATGGCTGGGAGCTGGAGTTCCCGGGACGGGCTCCAGTCTGACAGGATGACCCTGTCATCTCTGAAGAAGATGAAGTGAAGTAGGGTATCCGACCGCTCTGGAGGAAGCTGTGTTTCACAGCTCAGGTTTACAGAATTCCCCTCTGTAGGCTGAGAGTCTGTAGCTTTCAGCTGTGGATGTGGAAATAGTTCTAGAGAGAAGAGGTAAATCAAATTCTGAGCATGAGAGTATTTAGCACTCTGGGAGAGACAGGTTTGGGTGCTCAGTCCCAGGAAACTTCAGACACACAGCAAGACAAACTTATCAAAACCTCTATCAAAATTTTCTTCCACAGGTTTATTCAGGTACAATCATCCCACTTTCTCTGCCTCTTAGAGGACTTGTGCCTCTCATCTATCCAGGGTTTCAATAGTAACCCATAAATTTCTTCCTTACATGCTCAGTTTCCTATCCCTGACATTACTAAGCAAATCTATATGAACTGAAAGACTCACCTTGAATTTTAATCATTTTGAAATTTGATCTAAATACATCATTGTTGTCTCCATATCCAAAGCATTGATAATTGCCATTGTTATTTGAACTTGCATTTGGGATAAGAAGATCCCAGCTTTCATTAAAATTGGAAAGAATTTTTCCATTCCAAGTATATTTCACAGCAGTCAATTTCTCTTTCCTCCTTCTGTGGCATCTCAGAACCAACGTGTCACCTTCAAACACAGAATACGGGACCTGCAGGATTAAAGAGTCTGGAAAAGACACAGAGAGGAGATCGTCATTCAAAGCATTCCTGCTACTTCCTCCTTCTGTGTCTCTTGAATTACAAAGGCTTTATTGTTTTCTTCTTTCTTCCACAAGATGTAGTCTCTTGATCCAAGCTCACAAAACTCCTAAATCAGTGTAACATGCTTCAGATACAATTCCTAAATTTCCTAAATAAATCCCAGAGGCAACTATTTTATCATTCAAGGTCAGATTCCAAAGATAAGGAGTCTAATATGGAGAATAAAAGCTGAGAGGAAGGGTGATCAAAATCCCTGACCTAATAGAGTACGTCAGAACTTAAAACCAACCTGCTCACCGAGTCCCAGAGCAGGAGCTATGAAAGAAGGGGCACTTGGAGAACTATGTGAGGAACTCTTCCCGGGCATTGGAGCGTGATTTGTAGCAGGATTCTTGTCAGAGACACAGTCTAGGTTCAAGGGACAGTGGATGTGGTCCTCTATGGAAATTCCATGCTGTTCAGATTCTAATGATTCTAATTTGAGGTTAGCTATATCTCTTCTTTCTTAGATGACTGTGTTGAATGCCTACGCCTGTAGACCATGCCCTTGCAAGTGACCAAAATCATTATCTATCAGGTAAAACTGGACAGGAGGAGCTGTGGGAGCTTGATGCCAATCAGAGGGAAAACTAGCAATGAGGAAGGGACACATAACAACGGGTGGGGATAAAAAGCATCAGTTCAGAGATTTCCCACCTCTGAGCTCCTCTGATGGCACTTTTGTCCTCAGCACAGTTATGTGTGTGTAACTTCTCCCTTATGAGGCTATAAAGCCCTGCAGGGCAGGATCTGAGACAGCTTCATTTTTGTACTCCCTAAAACTAACTCATTTTCTTGACCGTGTAAGTGTGTGGGGATGTCGATTAATATTAACCATTTAAACTCAAGTTTCAATCATAGTTTGAAAAACACTTGTAGCCATTGGAGGGAAAATGTGAAACTAAAGAAGCTGGGATCGAGGGTTAGAGAGCAACGAAAGACCCCAGTTCGTGGAACCTCCAGGGAGCTAAGATAAACGGAAACCCTTTATAAAGTTTCAACTAATTCACCTTCTTTCTCACCTGAAGAAAAGAGCAAGCGCACAGGGTTACTTTGCGGGGAGCCCTGGGCCTGGCATCTGTACAGTCCAGATTCCCGAACCTCGAGGGTGTTTCCTGGGGTTACGGTCAACTTTTCTCTCCAATAGTGCTGATACCATGTTGTTTTCTCTGTTGCATAGAATTGAAATCCATTGCAAGTCAGAGTCACTCTCTCTCCTTTGAAGAATGTGGTCCATGGAGGACGGACGGAAATCACAGGTTTGTGTGCAGCTGCTGAGGAGGAAAGAGTAGTAGGTCTGAGGTGGAGGTGCCTGCAGTCCCAGCTGCAGTGGCTTGTGTAGGTTACACTGGAGGACATGGCTTGGGAGTTCCCTAAGAGGCCCCTGGATGACTTCTGTTTCCCCAGGTTGCAGGTGAGCTGTGCTCACCTCCTCCAGGGTGCAGTGGCTGCTCAGCAGTCTATAGCAGCAGATTGGCCTTTCAGAGGGAGGGCAGCCCTGGCAGGATCCACTCAGCAGTGATAGATGATGCGAGGCTCACAAACCCTCTCGCTTGTTTCAGTGAACCAAGTCCTCAGGTAGATAGTTGGAAATCGCGTTTCTCCTGGACTCTCACCTGAGATCTTGGTGTTACAGGGACCTCTCTAAGATGAGTTCTTGTGTGTGAAGGGTACCAGAAAATGCCATCTCCAGGTTTGTCTCTTTGGCATATGGATTATTTTGAGCCAAAGGCCACTGAGAATCACCAGAAATAGGAAAAGTTCTAAAAGCAAGGCACAAGTTTTCCTTTATAAGTGAAAAGTTTTCCCTTACAAGGGAAATTTCCTTTTGTAAATGTGTCTCCCTCTCCCATACTAGGAAGAGGAAGACTCTTAACAACTTTCATCGATAGAGAAGGCATTGACTTAAATATGCATAAAACCCTTGTTTACCATGTTTTTCCTAGTCAACCTGCCACAGCCTGCCTCTCCCACCCAGAAGCCCAAAACTCCTTTTCCTTTGTTTAGTCCAGGATGATATACAGGTTGAGTATACCTTATTCAAAACACTTTGGAACAGAAGCGTTTTGGAGTTCGAGTTTTTTTCAGATTTTGGAACATATACATAAACCAAAAATCTGAAATATGAAATGCTCCAATGAGCATTTCTTTTGATCATCATGTCAGTACTTAAAAACTTTCAGATTTTGGATTTCGGATATTTGGATGAAGGATATTCAACCTGTGTAAATCTCAATCATCTGGCTGCCTCCTTCAGCCATTGTTTTCTTTGTAAATTCCCCTGTCTATGTACATAATTAAAATTTTTTTTTCACTTGTTAGTCTGTCTTTTTTTTTTTTTCAAGAAAGAGTCTCGCTCTGTCACCCAGGCTGGAGTACAGTGGCGAGATCTCGGCTCACTGCAACCTCTGCCTCCCAGGTTCAAGCGATTCTCCTGCCTCAGCCTCCTGAATAGCTGGGACTACAGGTGAGTGCCACCATACCCAGTTAATTTTTTGTATTTTTAGTAGAGACGGAGTTTCACCTTCTTAGTCAGGATGGTCTCAATCTCCTGACCTCGTGATCCACCTGCCTCAGCCTCCCAAAGTGCTGGAATTGCAGGTGTGAGCCACCGCACCTGGCCTAGTCTATCTTTTATCAAGTTGATTTATGGGCCCCAGAAAATTAACCTGTAGGATCAAGAGAAAACTTTTTCTTTGCCCTCTTAATTTGCTGAAAAATCAACTGATGAAAGGCAGATTCATAGGAGAAATGGCCTACAAATTTATTTACATGTGCAGGGCAGAATTACAGAGTGATTCCCCAAATATACCAATAAGGCCCAGACACTTACACAGCCATTTTTGGAGGGGAGTGGGGAGAGGGGGAATGTAGGTAACTCTTTTGAAGGGCAATAAATAATGACCATGGTGAATTAATGGATAAATGGTTCTATTTGGAAGATGAATGAGCCTGAAGCATAGATATTTTCTTGTGATGGAGTCTGTTCAGGTGTGGTTACACCCGTCAGTCTTCTTTTCTACAGTAGAGAGGAGGGAAGAACAGTTGTGCTTACTGGTGGGTCGATTGGTCTTTAGGTGGATAGGGAGAAGTTTCTTCTGCTGATCTTTAAAGGCCTTTAATTCAAAATACTAGTTACACCAAGTGGCCATATTTTGGGGTGAAATATTTTGGCTTTCTTCAAACCTAAGAGAGATGGAAATTTTTTCCCTCCCCTACAGGTAGCATGAGCATGTGGTGGGATAGGGGTTATAGATGGAGTGAATATAGAAATCAGGAGGTCAATTAGACTGTTATGAAAAGTGGTTTAATTTATGTTTTTACTGTCAAGAAATATGTATGGGAGAGGTGAGCAGGCTCTGTCTGTCATAAGAAATATATCTAGATAGCTGCAGAGAGTAAGAGTGCAGGGAGCTAGGTGGTCCTAACTTCTCAGACCTCAAAGCACTCTCTTGTGACAGTAAAATACTAACCCTACATGAAATTAGGCCCTAAACTCTTTGAAGCATTGGTGGATAGAAACTGAAGAATTTGAGGATAATACAAATTAAAAATAAGAGGCTTAATTCTCCCCGACAAAAGGAAGAGGCTTCTCTTCCTCTTTCAGAATTTCTTTCTCTGTCCTTTGCAAATGGATGTAAATGTTTATATTGGTTAAATAACCAAAACAGCATGGTACTGGTACCAAAACAGATATATAGACCAATGGAGTGGAACAGAGGCCTCAGAAATAACACCACACGTCTACAACCATCTGATCTTTGACAAACCTGACAGAAACATGAAATGGGGAAAGGATTCCCTATTTAATAAATGGTGCCAGGAAAACTGGCTAGCCATATGTAGAAAGTCGAAACTGGATCCCTTCCTTACACCTTATACAAAAATTAACTCAAGATGGATTAAAGACTTAAATGTAAGACCTAAAAACCATAAAAACCCTAGAAGAAAACCTAGGTAATACCATTCAGGACATAGGCATGGGAAAGGACTTCAAGACTAAAACACCAAAAGCAATGGCAGCAAAAGCCAAAATTGACAAATGGGATCTAATTCAACTAAAGAGCTTTTGCACAGCAAAAGAAACTATCATCAGAGTGAACAGGCAACCTACAGAATGGGAGAAAATTTTTGCAACCTACTCATCTGACAAAGGGCTAATATCCAGAACCTACAAAGAACTTAAACAAATTTACAAGAAAAAAAAAAAAACATCAAAAAGTGGGCAAAGGACATGAACAGACACTTCTCAAAAGAAGACATTTATGCAGCCAACCGACACATGAAAAAAGGCTCATCATCACTGTCATTAGAGAAATGCAAATCAAAACCACAATGAGATACCATCTCATGCCAGTTAGAATGGCTACCATTAAAAAGTCAGGAAACAACAGATGCTGGAGAGGATGTGGAGAAATAGGAACACTTTTACACTGTTGGTGGGATTGTAAACTAGTTCAACCATTGTGGAAGACAGTGTGGCGATTCCTCAAGGATCTAGAACTAGAAATACCATTTGACCCAGTGATCCCATTACTGGGTATATACCCAGAGGATTATAAATCATGCTACTATAAAGCCACATGCACACATATGTTTATTGTGGCACTGTTCACAATAGCAAAGACTTAGAACCAACCAAAATGTTCGTCAATAATAGACTGGATTAAGAAAATGTGGCACATATACACCATGGAATACTCTGCAGCCATAAAAAAGGATGGGTTCATGTCCTTTGCAGGGACATGGATGAAGCTGGAAACCATCATTCTCAGCAAATTATCACAAGGACAGAAAACCAAACACGGCATGTTCTCACTCATAGGTGGGAATTGAACAATGAGAACACATGGACACAGGGTAGGGAACATCACACACCGGGGCCTGTCAGGGGTGGGAGGGTTGGGGGAGGGATAGCATTAGGAGAAATACCTAATGTAAATGACAAGTTGATGGGTGCAGCAAACCAACATGGCGCATGTATACCTGTGTAACCAACCTGCACGTTGTGCACATGTTCCCTAGAACTTAAAGTATAATAATAATAATAATAATAATAATAATAATAATAA